TTTTCTCTCTCTCTCTCTCTCTCTCTCTCTCTCTCTCTCTCTCTCTCTCGCTTTGTGTGTGTGTTTGTGTATACGTGCGTGCGTGCGTGCGTGTGTGCGTGTGTGTGTGCGTGTGTGCGTGTGTGTGTGTGTGTAAGTGAGTGGTCCTATACACACTTTCTGAAAAGTTAACTACTAGTATTTGTCTCCCATCAGAAAATTATCCATTCCGCCCTGCAACACACCCGGTATCTGGAACACTGAGCTTACATTTAGGAGCTTAATAGCTCCAGCGTACGATGTATCACATATAAGAATCGTCCACTTGTCTATATCTGAAATAAACAAGCAGAATAGAAATATATACTGAGATAAAATAGTAGGCGATTAGATTGGATGAAATGTGACGTCAATTGTAACTTTTATAAGTTGAAGTATAAAGGTTGCATGGCAGCAAACATGGTCATTTTAACACCAGAATCAAAATTCAGTTAATTCAAAACTTTAAATGTGGTATGAAGTAAGCTATGCTACAGAGAAATTATGCGCGACTAGCCATCCTTTAATTACTATAAGTGAGAGATTCACATAGGTATCTTTACAGATGAAATCATGGTAAACCTTTGTTAGACATGTGCTCTCTACCTTAAAAGTACAATTTCAGTCAAATATTACTGCATTCATTAGATAAATGCTATATAGACATTAAACTGCACATTTCATCTATGGCACACGTCGCCATGTATTATTAGAGCGATTATTACGTTTATTATTACGTCTATTAGAGCGATATGTCAGCTACGATAAGGCCCGTTATATTACGATTGTCCTTCACAGCTCGGTCGTATCGCGTGTGGCGAGTTGTGGTTTGTGAGACGTCGGTCGACGGAACCTCTGTACATCTATAGATGCTTCGTAACGTCTTTACACACACACAATATTGTCGGCAAGCCACCAATTAATTAATTAATATACTTGTATTTTAATTAACTATAATCAACTGTTGTTGTTAATGGGTCAGTGTACATAGTTTTCGCACGATGCAACCCGGAATGGTCATGAGAGCCTCCCGAGGGTGTGACTAAAGAGGCGACATGTGGAGAGCCTCTATTGACGCACCCTGTACATGAACAACATGTGTGCTGTCATCACGCACGATGCCTTATCAAAGCGGTACACATAAAGGTTGCATATACGGTTTGTAAATTCTGCAACAGAAATGTGCGAAATGCCGTAGATTTTTTTGGTCTCGTTGAGGGCTGCGAGAAAACGGAACAGATGTGAGAAGTGTGAATGCAAAGCTTTGTTCTGCCGGACGTGACGTGCCGGCGGGTGACATTTGAGCATTTCGCAGGATTCCTCTGCCAGCGTGTCTGCGCGGCGACCAACCATTGTTCTGCAGCGTAACCGCGGATCTCAAACCAGCTTAGATTGCAAGCTCATCTTATTGTCCTAGCGAGGTGACGATGGAAATGTGTATAGTTTGCATCCTGCTCGAATCACGACGCCTTTGTTAATGTAATCGACGCAACCGGGTGCCTGCTTTCACGTGAACGCGGAGTGTGGCTTGTGGTCTTCAGTTGGGAGCAACGAGCCATAATGTAAGAGTGCACTCCGCGGGATCCGACAACCATGTATACAGCGATTATACAAGCAACACTCGATCAGCTGAGACGATGGTTATAACTAGTACCAGTTCAGTTGTTAGCTACCACATCATTCATTTCCCGTCGCTGCAGCGGTGCGTTTAGTTGCCACCGGTCACGGAAAGCCGAAAGGGTCTCCGAATTTCGATTCCGTATTTCTCGTTAGTTGGCAGCCGTCCGATTGCAAGCGATGGCATCCGTGTTTGCCACACCGGCGTCTGGTTTGATGCACGACAGCAGCTTTCTACAACTGAGATGCGCTCTGAGACAGGACTGCGTTCCCAGCGAGGTGGCCTTACCCTATATACTGTACGACAAGCAGCCATCTCCTACAGAGACAGCATCCTACTTTCCTGGTATGTTTTCCGCGTCAAGAATATTTGCCTAATTAGTCGCTTAATTGCAGTGATTGCAGATCGTCGTACTGGGCTGTTTATATTTTGTTTTAATGCAATTGTTTATATTAATTTATTTAATGCAAGGCGCCCATATTTGTTTTTTAGCGTGTACTTGTAATATGTCACAAAGTCGCTATAGAGCTGCTGTTTTTAGCGTGTACTTGTAATATGTCACAAAATCGCTAGAGCTGCATAGTAGTATAGTACTGTTGTTATTTTTCTAGGCTTGAGTCAGAAGGTCATCGACGAGGACATGAACTTGTGCACGATGTTCAAGGAAGGTGCTGCGACATCTTCCAGCGATCTGCTCACAGTTCTACAAGAGTTCTACAGCAAGCAGGTGGCCACGCTGGAGAAAAACAGATTCATGGCTCTGGTCCGAGATTCTCAAATTACCGGTTCCGAAGTTGCCATTCACAGTTATTACAATAGGTGAGAATTACCGGGAAAATACTGGTATATGCGACGTACTGTCACTTTTATCATAAAGAAGTGGCTCAAATTCTACCATGTGTACATGCTTCTATTGAATGCAAATCAAACGATGTTATCATAGTTTAATATCAAAATCGCACGTTGCTTAACCAAACCTAAATTAAAGATGACGCGTTTTCGCGATCACAATTTTATCTCAGGATCGATAGAACGTCATCACCGTCACATCGTTGCTTCCCCTTCATTTCTAATACATCTTTGCTTTTGGTGTAATGTAGTAAGAGACAGGAGCTGATCGACAAGATCGTGGAGCGTCTGCGTGTGATGAGTGACAGTACGGTGGCGCAGAGCATCCTGCGACGCCGGCGGAACCTCTGCCCCGCAGCCACGCGGGTCATGGAGACGTGGTTCGCCCGCAACAGGGACCATCCTTATCCCAGCAAGAAGGAGCGCACCCTGCTGGCAGCCGCTGCCGGCATCACTCAAACACAGGTGTGTGTGTGTGTGTGTGTGTGTGTGTGTGTGTGTTTGTGTGTCTGCGCGCTCACGTACACGCGTGTGTAGTATATATATATATATAGAGAAAGATAAAGGGGGGGGGGGTAGAGAGATTTCTACATATTATATAAGCATCTATTTGCTCTATATACCATAATTTAGGTGACTCAGGTATAATATTAATGATCGCCATTATTTGAGAATTTATTATATTTTATTATATTTTATTCTTGTTTTAATTATCTGAAGCAATACGTATCTCTTGGTTTTCTCTGTTTCAAATTTTTGAACTAGCATTAATTCAGCAGTTTGTCGTTGTGTAGGTCAAGTCTTGGTTTGCAAACAAGAGAAATCGAGGTCAACACAAGGGGACCATGTCGAAGTTTCGTAAGGATAAGCATCAGCCATCCGCGTCAGCGAAGTCGCCATCTACAGGACTGACGCAGTCTCAGTGCAGTCCTGATGGCACATACAAACCGGAGCAGAACTTGTCATCTACCCAGCTGGGCGAACCACGGACACTACCATCAGTACGTCACAGCAGGCAAGGCGTCTCGGAAGTAATGGAAGTGGTGGCGTTGCAAAACTCGAATCCTCAGTTGGACCATATGGGACCAGGTGGAAAGATGCGGCTGCAGACAATTGGATTGCCACAGCTTCCAAGCTCGACATACTACAGGCCGGGTGGCATGGCACGCCAACCACTTCCCAGCGAACTTCTACCTCTTAGCCCTCTAGTGCTAAATGGACACTTCTTCAGGACCTAGTTAATGACAGACTAAACATGGATAACAGAATGACCATGGTTACGTGATATTGCTCTGAATGTATATAGGACAAGATGTGAACCACAAAAACTAAATAATGTTGATGGTTTTGTAATGTTTAATTCATACATAATGCGTAAGTGTTTATACGTCTATATTCCTAATTACAATTTCACCAGTGTAAATATGATAACTGCAATGATAACCACTAATAGCGACCATAAACTTTATAACTATTTAATCATGTATTGAGTTGACAATTTTAAGATTTGTCATTTGTTTGTCTTCACTTTAAATAACAATAAAGCTTGATTTATTTATAATATGAATGTATGTGCGTTTGTAATATGCGTACATCGATCTGGGCGTGCTTGGCGAGTGCGCGCACTACAATGTGTGGATACCAGACACAAAGCAGATAATGTTCGTGGCAGCATATTTTTCCCGATAGATGGCAGGACGATATATCATTTCACAACATACGATCTGATATTTGAAGCGATAGATATATATCAGGGGTGAATAATGACAAATATGACCCTGATATATATGGCTTCCGATATTTGTACATGAATTTAGGATGACATTTGTTCGCGTAGAACAGACAGAGCAGAAAATTTGCTAAATAATGAAAGAGAACTGGATTTACAAATTTATTCCTCCTTTATTAGTATTCAGTGAGTTATACACCGTGGACATTAAAACGCACCTGATCATGCACAAGAACAGAAATTAAAGCATGGTTTCGATATACAATCTTGATGAGTTTCTCATCTATCCGCATGTACAAAACCTTCAAATCATTCACGTTGGATTTTTCAGACCATGACTGAAATATGTAACAAAGCACGCGTTATAGATATATACTCCTCCTATATTTTCCTCGTGTAAAATATATTGCATTGACTACATAGCTGACACTATAGTTGGATTACAGGTCGACCTGTAATATCGTCTAGAAAAAGAGTGCTAAAAACGTCGTTGAAGAAATTGCTGTAGTAGGTGCAAGCTCTGGCGCAGTCTGGTGTGTAGTTGAATTCACACAGCATTGGCTGAATGTACTTATCCCCTGAAGCACAAGTAAAAGTAAGTTGAATTAACTATGTAAGTCACACTAATCAATGTGGATAAGTAACTGCTGAAAGTAATAAATCCGTGAGGTCTATAACCTTCAAGTGTCTAGGATGTTGATAGTTGAAATATTTCAGCATAAATTAATAACGCCGCGAGATGCTGAGGAAAATTGTAGTTAATATCTCCAAATATACCACGGCTTGCAATATATTTGCAAAATATTGCAAATATAGCACCATTGGTTCTTGTTATCAAGTTTAGATGTATAAGTTTTCTGGTGTTTGCACGCACACATGCACGCACACACACACAGAGATTTTCTACTAATCTGGTTGAATTGGATTAAGGTCACTGCCCAGGGTCGGAGTTAGGTCAGTTAGAATCAGATCGAGTTGATTGCATCAGTAGGTCATTTGGTACCGAGCCAGAAGCAAAAATCTATGGATTAGGAAATTAGTACGAAATTGAATGCTGATGTATAACTGTAAAATTGGCTACGACGTTCTGTATAGTGTTACGAAACATAAAGATAACTGCATCAGCACCTCACATCGTAAATCCGAGCATTTCTTCTGGTAAAACTATGATAATTGTGCACGGCGCACATGAAACTCGGTGACATACGAATGATCACTTGAGGAGTAAGTCAGCGGTACTCAGGGCTTGACTGGGAAAATCATTCAGGCCGGGAAATATAGCGCGAAATATAGCCCCAGTCAGGCTACTTTTTAAGCAGGGGGGCTTGGGGGTCCCGGGACCCCACCAAGAAATTTTTGTTACAAAGACTTCATTCCATGCATTCTGGTGAATTTTAGCTCCGGCCCCACCTATAATAATAGGGCTTATGGCCTGCAGGCCATATAGATATGGGCTGCAGGCCGCAGATTTAATATATATATATATATGGCCTGCAGGCCCCAGATTTTTTGCTTTTTTAAATTCTTTGAGGGGCAAGCCGCTTAGCAGGCCAGGCCACCGGGAAAACTCCCGGTGCTCCCGATCACCAGTCCGGCCCTGGCGGTACTCACCTCTGGCATTCTTCTTCCAGGCAAGCATCATGTCGACACCATACATTGCACGGGACTGTGGCGAGTGAGCAATGCCAGCAGGGGGCGCAGCCATCATCGCACACTCGATTGCTGATTTGATCACAGAGAGAATGTCTGCCTAAAACGTGCAAAGTTTACATTTTTACAAAGTCAGTTAGTGAGTAATAACAGCACTTAAGGATACAGTCAGGGTTACGGACAGGTACCTCTATAAAGGGCATTACAAGATCTTTTACTCCAAAAACATTTTTTTTTAATTCCAGAAATCGTTTACCTGAGATTGTGAGAAATGTGAAAAAAACATTTTTTTTCATATAAATTTACAATTTTTGCGGTCACGCAATTAGCGATTAATTTTTTGTGATTATTTTCATCATGAGCATAGAGAGACATCTCTTTTATTAAACAGATATGCTTACGTACAATGAAAATCACATACACTTCGGTCAGAAAAAATCCTAAAAGCTTATATGCGACAGTAAATAATGTGCTGGTCGACATAGGAAGACCACACCCAGCCCAACAGACCAAGAAGCTGCCAATTGTATTATTGATTATGGAGATTATTGTCACTGATAGATAACAAGTCGGCTTACTGTTGCCATCTCACAGAAAGGATTGGTGCCTTTCTGTCATCATATACATTAGCTCAATAAGGCAGTTACTTACCATCACATTGCTCCATTGTTGGATTGGGTACTGCTGCTCAAACTGACTGGCAAATTCATCGCAGTACATCTAAAACCGAGATGAATTATGACAAGCATATAGTGTATGCACTCACATTTTAATTCTAGACTCTCTATTATAATTGTAGCGGATTCAATAAAATTGTTCTTTTGTTACACAGTAACATGTACACTACTTAACTACATGATAGAAATGATTTAGTTTAACTTAGATAGGTGTGCACGCACGCATGTACACACACTACCATCTACCTGCTCTTGAACGTGTGAGATAGATGTTGCTCTGAACAGAAATGTACGTACTTGTTTCCAGTCTCCATCATCCCTGTAGTTCATCACCGTGAAATGTTTCTCATAGTCATCTAGGGCATCAAGGGAAAATGCCCTGCAATAAAAAAAACTGATGCATAAGAGCCAAGAATACAAGCCTGCACCTCAAGTGACATTACTCAAGTACTTATATAATGACCCTAAGTAAGTATGTAAGTATGGGTACACACACGGACATACACACACATATTTGAGGTCACAAACAGTGCAGTTTATTGAACACCAGTGATCCTGTCAAGCTTCTAACACACACGGACATACACACACATATTTGAGGTCTCAAACAGTGCAGTTTATTGAACACCAGTGATCCTGTCAAGCTTCTCTTATTGTAGAGCCACCTGGTTTGTGCAATCATCTACCCGTTTACACATGACACTGTCATGTGTGCCATTTCCGAGTGACGCTTTACCCTAGCATTTGTCGGCATCGCCACACTCACTTGTTGGCAAATCGTAGCCAGAAGTGCTGGTAGATGCAAACTTTCATTGGGCGCACACAACTCAGCAGGACGATAAACCGCATGTCAAACTTCACAGGTCCGACATCTTCCCGGACGAACAGCACCGGATCCTCAATGTACTTGCACGCAATCTGAAGCAGAAATCTCTCATCAATCACTATTATCCAACCTGGCTGAGCGAGATAACCATTCGGATATTGATGCTAGATCAATTAAGCGAGACCAGTTTATACAGGTTTGTCACGCGCATGCCAGATTGTGGACTTCGCAACAATTTGTTGCCAAAAGCAGCTTTTAAAAAGTCTCATCGTAACAATAATTGACTAACCCTGCCTGTCAATCATACCAAATAAAGAGATAAGTTTTGCACTACAGGTGACAGGATGGCGCAGTGTGAAACTTCGGACATGTTTGTTTGGTCGGATCCATGGATCTCTATCCACTGGATCCGTGGATCTGACTGTTTGTTTGGTCGGATCCACGGATCTCAATCCACCGAACCCGACACTGCTAGCGAGATAGATTCGAAGGGGATACAACATGGCGGCCCGCACCTCAGCCAATCACAGATTGTTCATTGTTATGAACCATCCCGTGATAGGTCACAGCAAAACGTGAACCGTTGAAAGTGAGTTTGTGTTTGTTTGGGTTAGGGTTCGATCAGCAGATCCGTGGATCCGACCAAACAAACAGGCCCTTCGTTGTGCAAATGAATGAGAATCGTCAGTGTTAGAGGACGTTAGGCTTTTATACAGCACGCTGGAGCAGACCTTGGGCCCCGTGTCAGGCAGTCTGACTAAACAGTTGATGTTGTTTGTGATATACATGTCGAGACCTCGCGCCAGATTCCATGGTTTGCATATCCAGTGGTTATCGAGTCCCCTGCAAGTAAAGCAAACACATAGCATAGAGAACCAAATTAATGCGCTTGATCATGATAACTGTACCAAGAAGCGCGCGTAGCCATGTAGAAACCCGCACTCAAAAACATTCACTGCTATCGTTAGACTTCGCGATGGTGCACTGCCGCAAAGTTTGAAATGTCGATCTTACTTTGCCTCTCTCTGTTGAAAGTAGGAGATGAACTGGGGCAATTCTGTGACGAGGTTGTATGTGGTTGGCAGCCAGGCCGGTCGCGTCTCAAGCATGTCAGTATCAGTTCCAGCCTCGCAGGCACGCGCCACTCGACGGCAGACGATTGCCAGCAGATCCTTGATGGTAAGTACGCTCTCGTATGGGAACTGGTTGATGAACTTGGTTGGAGACTCTTCGCTAAATGTTCTGAGTGAGATTGGGATCGGGTTGCAATCATCAATGTTCCATACAGCAAACGAATGGTGTATGCCTCAGATATGCACACTGTGTGTGCTATTTGGTTTACTTCACTGACGTATACTTTATATAACTATATGACACCTACATAGATAGTGCATGCAACTTTTACCTGTATATAATTAGTAATTTGTTACAAGAAAATGTTTGGTACCTACTTGTAATCTTTAAAGTGTTCTCTGACCCAGAGGATGTCAGCTTCATCTTTGTTGTGAACAATTTCGAATCGTGGGTGATTTAGAAAGTCATTGACATAACTATAATTTGAGAAAACTTTATATTTTGAGTCACTAGGTGGCACTGCTGAAAACTTGTCAAGTCTGTCCTCACATGGAAGAGTTTCATTTTCTCGACTTGCCTACAAAATAGTACAGTAGAAGTCTAAAAATCCGGATGCCAGAAATCTGGACCATCCGAGAATCCGGACTTTTCGAAAACCCAAATTAGTGTCGACTTTATTTTACTTTAAAACGGGTCGTTTTTATAAATGAAGCATGCTGTATTTGCTAATGAATAAACTATCAAAATTTACCTGTTCATATCTTCTTTATTCCTCCTTAAATTTGAAGTACTGCCCAAGAATCCGGGAAATCCGAAAATCTGGACCGACCCAATCCCCAAGCAGTTAGGGTTTTTGGATGTATACTCACTGTATGTCTACTTAATTTACCTCAGCAGAATTTGAAATTAGAATAATTTGCTAAATATTTTACAACAGTCAGCAGCGAGAGCTTAGCAATATAATAAATAGACACATATGAAGTAATTACCGCAAAGAAAGATTCAGGAGGCTCAAGCTGTTTTGAGTCAATATATGTGAAGTCCGATGGTTCCCACGGCAACATTCTGACTGCCCTAATTTGATCATCACTTTCATTCTCAACGTAACTCCTTGTAACCTCATCTGTGTCAAAAGAACACTTTTTTTTACTTACACGCCTCGCTCCTCTAAATACCACTCAAAAATAACAAAAAGCTTTACTGATACCAGCCAAACATAATAGGACAAATTCGAAGTAAGAACAAAGCAGACATGGAACAATAATTATCCATGCAGAGTTCCAATCACCTCCATGATTCAGGTCTTTCATCGGCCAGATGACAGTGAATGACATCTGTGATGGTATGTTGAAGAAAGGAACAGCTCTGAAGCTTGGATCACTGCTGTGCATGATACGTGAACCAAATTCATCCAGTATGTACCATACAGGAAGTTTCTCTTCTGCCGACTAAAAGAATGGATTGACATGTGTACGATAAACATGGAGTCTATTTACTTTTTAAATATTTATACAACTAGAGTGTACCATTGGCTATGACAAATCGTCTACACACATCAAAGTATGCAATTCAGGAAGTGGCAAGTTTGGAGTAGTGTTGAAGTATTAGAGGGGCGACAGTTGTCAGATTTACAAAAGTCTAATGTATGGATAGGTACCGCATCAATGTTTCCAAGCCGGTAAGTCTGGTTGTATCGCCACATCTCATTCAGAGTGATCTCAACCAGCTCATCGTGAGTTAAGCTGTCGGCATCAATATCAAAGAGAGCAGCCATCCTCTCAAGCAGCCCTGGTATCTGCTGCAGATGCTGTCTCGCATCACGCACCGTGTATGTCCACGCATGGTCCACTAGGTAAATACTGAAAATGTGAACCTGGCATTTATCTTGCATTTTACTCTCTTCTTCGTGTCGCTCCAAGAAATGATCATGCATTGCAGGAAGTATTGCATAATATACGAGATGCACTATAGCATATGTTTCACATGTGTAGTTTTGAGATGTTAGGCTGCTAGAAAACTAGTTTGATTGTGAATAGTTGCACAGTGTAGTGATTTTCCGAGACTTGCTTATATTTAGTAATAAATTGGTAGCCGAGCAGGCATATAAATGTTTGTAGCAGAGACTTATTTCAGCATTTTGAGTTATTTGTTAATCGGTAGAGAGAGACGAGATCTAGGAACAGAGAGACGGTTCAGGGAGATATGTGGGGGCAACACTTTGGGGATACTGAGGGATAAATACTTTATTCGTGAGACAGTCGTGGCAGTTGATTGTAAGTCAGTAGCCAGGGTTGGTCTGTTGCGTGCTTGTGGTTGGTTAATACATATTGGCTAAACACAACTCTGTGTTGTTCTGTTTTCTATCTAAAATGTTAGATTATACTATATATACATTCTGGTGTAACAAACCAGTTATAGCACATGCCACATAATGTACAACATGTATGTATTCCATAATGTATTAATTAAGAAGATTACATTGTATTATTCTTAAAGCTGCTTTACGCTACTCTTCGTGGTAATACCATAATCACAGATAGGAATAAGAGTAAATTTTTGCATTATTAAATATTTATTTATAGTGAAAATGGAAATGCTTACTGTTGGTGATCTCCAACGTTTATCCCTTCATCAATAGTGACGACCACCTTCCAATGGATATGAGTGCCTTCTTCATCTTGCACTTCCAGTAAACTGAATGCACTTCCTGCATCTAGCACCTTAAACACAAAGAAACAGAATGAATAATATAGTGTGGAAATTAGCCATTAATATACTGTCTACATGACTTCCCTATTATCTATTTCTGATGTATATGCATGATGAATAATTGGGACGAATGGATAGATGGATGGGCAGGCGGAGGGGCGGATGGACTGACAGACAGACAGAAAGATATATGGATCTCAGGCACTTGGAACCTTTCAATAGTAAAATGATGATAAATAAACACGAAATGTATTGACTACCAAAGTCTTAATTTTTCTCTACTCTCTTTCGCCTATTATTGCCAATAATTTCCTGTAAATGCCATTCAAATACTCCTCCGCAACACACAAGTACACCGCACGCATGCTGCTGTACACAAACAACAAGAATGAAGAGCAGGCGGGAAAGAGTGATCGCAAAATTTGCTTGACGTTCGCTTTGACGTTTTTTTTTCACACTATCACAGCACAAATACACAAACAACAGCCTCCATTTTTGTATCTATGCATAGCTAAATGTTCACTTGTTCGAATTATAACTATGCCATCTGGCACTGCCTACTCTCCTCTAATATATGTCATGAATTCATGCAGAAAACTTCCACTCCACCAAAATATAAATGGGAGGTTATCATCAAAAACTCCCTAGCCGCGCCACTCGATTGTTTTGGCCAATGAACGTAGTAGTGTGTGTGACATCATGGTCATGCCCACGTGCATTATGCTAGCTTGGCTTGGCGGGCCTCAAAATAGAGCTCGGAGGCAGGCATCAGCTCACCCCCGCATGCAATCCGCTGTCATTATTCGTGTATAAACAGGCACATCCTCCCATTTACATTTTGGTGGAGTGGAAGTTTTCCGCAGGAATACATTGTACGCTATTTCTTGCTTGAGTAGGCAGTACCAAGCAAAAGGAAGAGTTATAAATCAAACAAGTAAACATTTAGCTATGCATAGACACTAAAATTGAGGCTGCTGTTAGTGTATTTGTGCTGTGATAGTGTACGTGAAACGAAGCAAGCATCGAGCCAATTTTGCGATCAAGCTTGCCCACCTGCTCTTTCAACTTTATTCTTGTTGTTTGGGCACATCAGCGTGCATGCGGTATACTTGTGTGTTGCATAGCTTTTGAACGGCATTTACCGGAAATTATCGGCAAACGACAGCAATAATAGCTAAATAGGCGAAAAAGAGTAGAGAGACATTATCATTAAGACTTTGGTAGTAAATACATTTCGTGCTTATTTACCATCATTTTACTATTGAAACGTTCCAAGTGCCTGTGACTCGATTATGGCTAGATAAGATTGATATTGTTACGAAGTGGCTGGAGGTACGACAGCCGTCGTTCGTTGAAGCCCCTTTTTGGCGTTTGTTTGAAGGCTGAAGCAATTATTTGCGATCTTCTGATGTAAAATTTACAATAATGTTCATTTTCATACCGAATCCGAATGTTTTCTAGCTCATCACTCTTAAATCGTGAATTTATTTTCCAATGCGTTATTTCGAAATCTGCCACCATCCGCCATCATCTTTGTCTCGTTTTGTATGAAAGCGAATAGACTGCCATACCACCAGCCGCGTAAATTGGAGATACTGAGGCCGTACCTCCAGCCACTGCTGTGAGTATGTAATACACTGTATGTAATGATATTTGATAATCATAACTGGGGTGATGACTGCAGATTTTCAGTTCGTTTTCTTATAGGCAAGATGCAGCTTTACTGACCTCATTTTTTAGTTTTAACATTAGCGTACTCCAATATATTTGCGGAATACCTGCAGATTCTAGCTGAGGCCGATGTAGGCTAATAAAAACAGACAATTCATTCTCAACTACAGAATTCTCGTGGTTACTCATGGAAGCAGCCATCTTATACCTATCACTTATCACGCTGTCACGTTATTACTTCAATACTTGGCATGGTTACATTATCTAAATAATACATTTTAATAATTATGTTAGAAATAAGGAGATTTTATTTGTATTTAAAAGAGTTAGAACAAGATGTGGTAATGTGAAACTTACATAGTAGCCAAGATATCAAATAAACGCGCATATCTCAGGCGAGGTTCAACACAAAACCAAAGATTTATTTGATTGTTTTCCATTTGATTTCAACTGCTTCTTTTCATGTAAAGTGGGAACTTAGAGTTATTGCATTCATGTAAGTTGTTTAGAGCTAGAAGTAGTAAGATGATCAATTCGAATGTTGTATTTGTCGCAAGTTTATATTCCGACTGACAACGGAAACCGGGAAATAAATATTCAAACAGAAAGCAAACGCGATGGCGCTTCACCTGTGGCGTCAATAATAACAGAATGGCTACAAAAAGAAACGGTCATATATCAAAAGAACGCGTATGTTGACGTTATGACATGTGTGACTATGTCTAATGTATCAGAACCTAGCCACAAATTACCTCACATACCACATACCATATCGCTTCTCACATACCACAGTTAAATACTGTCAATTTCAGCACAGGCACACGGGCTGTTTCACTTTCACTTCAGTAATAAAAACGATGGTAATTACAATATAAACACGCTATGTATTTACTACCGGAGTCATAATGTTTGTGTTTTCCATATTGCCTAATAATCTCCACATAAATGTCGTTCGAATACTGTGCTGCAACACACTCTCACTACATGCATTCCTCTGTGCACAAACTTGCAGAAAGATAGCGCAGTAGGAAAGAGTGAGTGAGTAACGGATTTCCACAACATTTGATTCGTTTCATACCATGACAGAACAAATATGCAACTGACCGCATCCTTGGTGGTATCTCACTAACTATCTGTGCAAAGCCAAATGTTCTAATGTTTGCATTATCATCCTTGCACTTCGGTAGCATGTAATTTACCCAGAGAAATTATGTAAAATCGTACAGAAAACTCCCACTACATGGCAATGTAAATTGGAGGAACTGGCTGTTTATAAATAAGTAATAGCAGTGTATTACAGTCTGTGTTCCCGGGCCCTCCCTTATCCTTCCATAAACAATATACTTTCTAAAATTCGTGGGGAGAACCGTGCTGTCAATATGTCCATGGAGTATTATGCTTATATGCTGATATATACGTACAACCATCATTCTGTAACTATATGCCTACATACCTAATACGCTGTGGCTATATGCCCGGCAGCCGGGCACGGTCTTCGATTTCCTAAATGCACGAAATCTGCCACCATCCGCCATCATCTTTGTCTCGTTTTGTATGAAAGCGAATAGACTGCCATACCACCAGCCGCGTAAATTGGAGATACTGAGGCCGTACCTCCAGCCACTGCTGTGAGTATGTAATACACTGTATGTAATGATATTTGATAATCATAACTGGGGTGATGACTGCAGATTTTCAGTTCGTTTTCTTATAGGCAAGATGCAGCTTTACTGACCTCATTTTTTAGTTTTAACATTAGCGTACTCCAATATATTTGCGGAATACCTGCAGATTCTAGCTGAGGCCGATGTAGGCTAATAAAAACAGACAATTCATTCTCAACTACAGAATTCTCGTGGTTACTCATGGAAGCAGCCATCTTATACCTATCACTTATCACGCTGTCACGTTATTACTTCAATACTTGGCATGGTTACATTATCTAAATAATACATTTTAATAATTATGTTAGAAATAAGGAGATTTTATTTGTATTTAAAAGAGTTAGAACAAGATGTGGTAATGTGAAACTTACATAGTAGCCAAGATATCAAATAAACGCGCATATCTCAGGCGAGGTTCAACACAAAACCAAAGATTTATTTGATTGTTTTCCATTTGATTTCAACTGCTTCTTTTCATGTAAAGTGGGAACTTAGAGTGATTGCATTCATGTAAGTTGTTTAGAGCTAGAAGTAGTAAGATGATCAATTCGAATGTTGTATTTGTCGCAAGTTTATATTCCGACTGACAACGGAAACCGGGAAATAAATATTCAAACAGAAAGCAAACGCGATGGCGCTTCACCTGTGGCGTCAATAATAACAGAATGGCTACAAAAAGAAACGGTCATATATCAAAAGAACGCGTATGTTGACGTTATGACATGTGTGACTATGTCTAATGTATCAGAACCTAGCCACAAATTACCTCACATACCACATACCATATCGCTTCTCACATACCACAGTTAAATACTGTCAATTTCAGCACAGGCACACGGGCTGTTTCACTTTCACTTCAGTAATAAAAACGATGGTAATTACAATATAAACACGCTATGTATTTACTACCGGAGTCATAATGTTTGTGTTTTCCATATTGCCTAATAATCTCCACATAAATGTCGTTCGAATACTGTGCTGCAACACACTCTCACTACATGCATTCCTCTGTGCACAAACTTGCAGAAAGATAGCGCAGTAGGAAAGAGTGAGTGAGTAACGGATTTCCACAACATTTGATTCGTTTCATACCATGACAGAACAAATATGCAACTGACCGCATCCTTGGTGGTATCTCACTAACTATCTGTGCAAAGCCAAATGTTCTAATGTTTGCATTATCATCCTTGCACTTCGGTAGCATGTAATTTACCCAGAGAAATTATGTAAAATCGTACAGAAAACTCCCACTACATGGCAATGTAAATTGGAGGAACTGGCTGTTTATAAATAAGTAATAGCAGTGTATTACAGTCTGTGTTCCCGGGCCCTCCCTTATCCTTCCATAAACAATATACTTTCTAAAATTCGTGGGGAGAACCGTGCTGTCAATATGTCCATGGAGTATTATGCTTATATGCTGATATATACGTACAACCATCATTCTGTAACTATATGCCTACATACCTAATACGCTGTGGCTATATGCCCGGCAGCCGGGCACGGTCTTCGATTTCCTAAATGCCCGGCAGTTCCTAACCCTAACCCTAACCCTTGTTTACTTGAGATAACGCTGAAAATTAAAAACTGCCGGGCATTTAGGAAATTGAAGACCGTGTCCGGCAGCCTTCAGGTATATGCCGGCTGCCGGTCATATAACCACTCTGTACCTAATAATCTCTGATTTCATTTTAGGATGACGTCCCCAAGTACTTGGAGTGAGGAGTCCTTGATCAAGAAAGAGTTGCAACTGTTTTTACGTCAGAATATTCCTTTGGCATTATTAGGGTTTGTGTATTCTAATTTCTATTTACAAATGATTAATTTTTCACCCATGCATGTAATAATGTAATTACAATAACAGCTGGTGTTTACCTTCGTCAGGCTGCTTATCAGTAATCAGGGTTCTCAGTAACCTGTAACTCGGTTCTCAGTAACTCAGTGCACCAGTAATTTCATAAGGAATTTTATTTAAGAACAGATTGGGGAGGGCCTGTGATAGGGTTGTATCACCTCCTGATACATGAACAAGTTTTATTTAATATCAGATGTCATTTTTGGCACTTTATTTTTACCTAATGCACAGGAAAAGGTTGAAAAGGAAAGGAACATAATTATTAAAAATCACAGCTAGATATAAATTAGGCAATTAAGATATGTCGGAGGATTTATGTGATGTTCTAGATTAACTTCAGCTTTGAAGGCATTTCAGATCTGACATGCGTTGAAAGTCTGTGTAGAACCCCAGTAGTAAAAATGCACAGTTGGTATAGTACTCGATCCTATAGTAGTAATAATAGTAATATATGTACAGTTAGGTTTCAACTAAGAAAAAGATTGTCACTCTGCAAGAAATCTACTCTCCATCTATGATGTTTTGGATTTTCTGGATAAACTTATTGGTAAAGTGCATACATGTACTCATTATATATTCTGTGATTTTTCAACCCCTGGTATGTCATTACATAATTGTCCCTTTCCAGTGGGAAAGTTGTTTTTCACTATTATTTATATTTATTTATTGGCAATCATTTTTCACATAAAGAACAATTGATGACATCATCCTGAACTACATAGTCTGTGTCTTGGAGAGCTTGGGCAGCTCTAGCAATTCTGGAGAAGAGAGCTTCGATGTTGACCAGTTTGTTGAAATGCTGGATGCACACTTTTCTGGATTCGCTGCTGTAGAAAGGTACAATCATCTATGAATGTGTTTATTCATGTGTGTACTTTTCATGTTTTATTTTTGTTGTTGTCTCAAAACATGTGGTGAATTTTTGTGGGTGTGCTGCCTTGCCTACGTACTGTGTTCTGTGCTAATTGAATTACTGAAATTCGTAACAGAACATCATCAAAATGTACTCACAGCTGTTTCATAGCACTTTTTCTATGCAGATTGTACTGAATCTTCAAGTTTTCCGTCTGGTATAGCATACAAAGAGTCGAGTACTAGGGTCAAAACAGTTTGTAACATGCGACTATACTGCAATGTTATTAATTTTGTAATTGTAATATGTATAAATACAGATTTGCTCAGATGTGGCATCATTAATGTGTGTTGTATTTGCAGTGAGGCCGTGTGCAAATGGGTGTATTCTCTAGCAACGAAACTTAGTGAACAACGGCAACAGTCAACTGATGGTATGTGTGCGTGCATGCATATGTGCACAATTTTGATGAATCACGAAACAAGAATATTGCATTTATTACTAGCATTACAATTCACAATAGTCTACTTACCAATAAAACAATCACGCAATGTTTTTGCTCAGTTGCAAAAAAGGTGAAAAACGTGTTAGATTTAGTGTGACACATTAAAATTATTTGTAAAACAAGATCAAGTTAGTGAGTGAGAGGTATTTATGCTATCATTCTGGTAGGTGGCACAAGGACAAGAAACACGAGTGAAACTTCAGTGACAAGCCTTGAGGATATGTTTGGTGTTGGCACACCTTCAAGTTTACCTGCCCCACTGTCACATAGAACCATCAGCACATCCAGCGACAAGGAGAACCATGACTGCGAAAAATCACAGGTGTGTGCTCTCCCCTGTATTCACACCCTGTGCGCAAGCAGAAGGCAGAATGCGAATTTCACCATAGCACCGACAGAAAGTGCCATGGAAGCTGTCTGTACTTGCCATTGTGCCTTAAAACTGGGTTGATATCCATAACATTGGAATGTCATGGCTGTCTTAGTTGCTTTGCAGCCATTCCATTTACATAAATTCTCTGTTGTTTGTGTATCTCTCCCCATCTGTACAGTCCCTGCAGGTCAAGTTCAGAAAATTATGTAGGTTTTATTAAAACTGTTTTAGTAAGTTTTTGATGACGTGACATCTCTGCATCAGGTCAAGATCGTATCACTCGCACCTAAATTCTATAAGTTCACACATACGGTTTGCGTTTTCTCAGGACTCACACTCGGCAGCTGGGGCGTCAGCAGGTAGCAGCTGGACACATGAGCATGTCCACCTCCTAATGGAAATGTTCCCTTCGGCCGGTGAAATCAATGTGAATCGCTGTCTCTCGGTTGCCGCTGGCGACGTTGAAGCTGCTGCCCAACTACTACTGTGCCAGCCAGAAGATGGCAGCAGCAGTGTTAGTCATGGTTCACTGTCAAAGGTAATGCCATTTTTTCCATAATTGTCACCCGTCACATCGAACCAGGTCTTATGTCGCATGGCCAAGTATTGAGCCGTGCATGAAGTAGTAAAGTGACTGAATTTTTGTTAATTTTGAGATTTTGTCAAAAATGGGTTTAGAAATACCTTACCTCTCTGATCCAGTGACGAAATTAGTAAATAATAACCCTAAAATGTGTTTTAGAGCACTTTTATGAACAATACCATCTGCTTGGCTTAACTTGTTGTTCACTTTTAAATTAATTTTTCTTAAATTCTGTGCCTCAGAAATCGTCCAGTTTGTCCGGACAAATCCGGCCATATATCCAGAACTAAATATGATACAGGTATGAATGAGGTATCAAAATGAAGCTTACTGAGTCAGGAATCTAAAATTAATGCATAACTCATATCAGCCAAAATGTGACTTAAGACCTGTTTCGATGTGACGGGTCATAATTGTGTTTGTGCTTACGCCATGTCGCAGAGCTTGGAGTTGATTTCGGTTTTTTTCCCCGTTTTAGTAATGTGAGGGTTGTGTGTCTTTGTGGCAGGTACACAAACATAGTGTAAAGAAGCATGATGTATGTGGAATGGGTACAGACAAACAGCTCAGGAATCTCATCATAGAAAAGTGAGTACAACCTGTTCCATGATTAGTAGATCCATAAAGAGAAACCTGCATGCCCTCATAATATGGAAAGAGTAGGACAATTATTGCACATTTCTGTGGTAGGCACCACATACAATAATGGCGGCACATTCTTGTGGCAGGTATGCTTATGTTGATCAGGCAGAAGACCATAGAGAGCATCATCCTCCTCCACCTAAATACGTGAGTATTTATAACACAGATATCACATTTTAAATTGGTTAGGGTAAAGCAATTGTCGTTTTGGGTGCAATCAGAGATTTTCCCACACCATGGTAAGTGGTACAGGCACCAAGCAAACATATCTTTTGCACAGAGGTTATCACAACAAGGCTTGGTTTTTTAATAGCTCTTTATTATGTAAGATAAAGAGAAAGACATCACAAACTTAAAGGTCAACACTATCACAGCTATCAGTTATTATGCTAGTTACCTATTACTTAATATGCAGTTAATCTACCAATTATTTAAGTTACATATAAACTTGTAGTGTTCAATGTTAACTTGGTACCACATATC